TAATTTTAAGTAAATATAATGTTATATATATTGCGTCACCAAAAATGATTGAAGTCATGTACATATATTGCGCGATAAGTCGATATATTGATTATTGCGACAGGCCTACTTGTACCCTTAAGGTCTCTGCACACTGAGTCCGAATTTTACGTCCGAAATTTTCGCACGTTGAAAAATAAATACGACCTCACGTTGTGTCAATCACGTTTACACACTGCCTCCGAAACTTTCGTCCGTCATAAAAAAATTCGGACCAGGTTCGACTTTCTGCGTTTTCGCATCCGTAGCAAGCATTTTGATAGGAAAGGATGACGAATATGAAAAAAATGGAAAAACGCATACGAAAATTTCGGACTCGGTGTGCAAGGACTGTGTTGAAAAATAAAAAAAATGTCAAATACATTTATGTTTTACAACTGTGTTCTTTTGCTGTGAATCTAAAACTTTCACTTACTGTATCAAAATATAGTGGTGAAATTTTGCAAACATAAATGCCCAGCTTTGTCCGATATCCAATGCAGATTTTGTCTAAAAGTGTTTTTTTATTATTATTATTACTACTACTATTTATTTATTTTTTTTTTAGAACTAATGGCTTCCTAAAGACATGTTTAAGGGTGAAAATAAATAATACATCTGGCATATTTCTACTATATTCCAAGTCTTCTGAATTCAGTGTGAGCTGAACTTCTGAACGTGGTGTGAGGAACAGACTGATATTTATTGAGTGTGGGCTGTTAACTGGATCGAGTTAACTTGAGAAATCAGTCTGATTTGTGACTGAATCATTTCATACGGACTACTTTTGTCATCATTTTTATTGCGTAATTTCATTATTTTGGAGCTAGAAAGATTTTAAAAATCATCTTAAAAATCCTATTTTCTTGTTCAATGGACGTTTTTGACAACATGAGCTTCATTTTTGAGTGAATTCTCTCTTAAAAAGGTATAGATTATCCAATATGCCGCATTACAGTGCAGGGCTGTAAATTGCCATACTGCTGTCAGATGGCTAGAAATAGTCTCTCTATTATGTTCATCAGAAACACACTGACCCGATCCATCATCTTTTTCTGGGTTTCTGACTCTTCCTCTCCATCAAACACACACACACACACACTCCCCACGACTCCTCTGGCAAGATCAGACTGTACTGTACGACTCTCTCTCCGGGTCTCTGGGGCATCGGTACACTGCAGAACTGTTTTAGGTGACACGCAGAGAGGAAGAAAGTCATAGAAAGAAAGAGGCAAACAGAGAGAGACGGACGCAGCGGGGGTCTGTCTGTACGTGAGACCCTCACCGTTCCGCTCAGCACCTCTCTGACACGAGCTATCATCTTCTCCACTGAAGAGAAACCCCGCTGAGGTGCTGTCATCCGTCTCAGACAAGATCTCGGTCTCTCTCTGGCTGGATGTGGAGCCGGTGGCCGACGTTTGATGCTTGCAGCCTTGATGGTGGCTGTTTTAGTGTCCGGTTAGTAATGGGACGGGACGAGTAATGCTGGATTTGATGGACAGATTCATGATTTTCTCTCCTTAGAGGAAACTTTCATTGCTCAACTTTTTCATTTAAACTTTTCTCGGATGTTTCTGCTAAAATTCAACTGGAGGAATGGGAAGAGTTCACTCAAAAATTAAAAATCGGTCATTTACTCATCTTCCTGTTGAAAATGTTGACCAGCTCACATCCTAAAAATAAATATACAGTACACACACATTGAAATAGGTCACACGGATAATTTGTCATGCTATTTTGCAACAGTTTGCAAACTTCAAAGTTAAAAATGTAAACAAAAATGTTCCACAAACGTAATGTGTTGTGGTTTTATTTTGGATATAAACATATCGTAGGCTAATAATAGCAGGCTAACATGCTTCTCTTACTATATCATCATTATAAACAGTATTTTCTATATGCACAGAATATTAGTTTAAAAATTAAATAAAATGTTTCACAAATGTTGCAGTCTGGTTTGATTTTCACGGTAAAAAATGCTACATTAAATTTTTTAGGCTACTTTAAAGTAAACTTTAATAAGAAAAAATACTTTTTATATTTGTAAATGTGGTTTCTAAAGTGTTGTTTTAAACATTGCACTGCAACCTTATTTAACAAAATTATTAAATTACAAATATTGTACTGTTCTTTTGTGTGTGTGAGTGTGGTTTACAGAACATTTTTAAAAGATTGCACTGCGACATTACTTGAGAAAAAATAAACAAATAAACAAATAACAAAATGTTTTCTTTATGCACTTTCTAAAACATTTTTAAAACGTTGCACTATAACATAACTAAAATTCAAAATAAAATAAAACAAAACAAAAATAGATGAGAAATGTACTGTTTTTGTGTGGTTTATAAAATATTTTTAAAACGTTGCACTACAACATTACGTAACTAAATACAATTAAATAATAATACATGACAATATGCTGTGTTTAGTGCCGTTTCTAAAATATTTTTAAAACATTGCAGTACAACATTACTTAACTAAATAAAATAAAATAAAATAATAAAACAATAATGACAACAATATATTGTTTTTTGTATGGATTTCTAAAACATTTTCTAAATATTGCGCTACAACATAACTAAATAAAATAAAATAAATTACAACATTGTACTGTTTTGTGTGTGTGTGTGGTTTTCTAAATCATTTTTAAAACATTGCTCTGCAACATAACTAAATCAACGAAATTACAAATATTGTCCTGTTTTTTGGAGTAGTTTCTAGAACATTTTTAGAACTGTGCACTGTGACATTACAAAACAAAAATGTAATGTTATATAAATGTTTTATGCTTGGGAAACCCAAAGTCTCCACTTGATCTCCATCTAGGAGCTAGGGCACTATCTAGGAGCTGCAATTGAGATATACTGTATAATAATAGTATTCCTACAGGCCCTGCTATCTGACAGAATAAGTATTTTCATTTGATGTTTTGCTTTCTCTCGAGCCTCAAACACACAAAATCACAATCCTGCCAAACGCTGTCAGAAAATAACGTCTGTAAACAGCAGACTGAATATGAATGAAACATCTACATCTCTCTTTCTGCAGGGAAGCGTCACTGAACATGCTTTGATGTTCACGCAGTGGATAATCTCTCTCTGGAGATGCTTTGATGTGAAGAGCAGAGAAGTAATCTACCTTTTCTTTCTCTCCATCTGTCTGTCCTGCTCTGGGTAGGCGAGTGCAGTTTCAGCAGTGCAGGGGTTCATGATGGTGGTGTCTTCAGTCGGATCTTTCAGATCCTGTACAGGAATGAGGAGGTGACCCTGGAGGACCGCATGAACTTCAGAGTGCAGCTGCTGCTGGACGGGGAGAGGGTGAGTGTCCCGCTGCTCTGATGACACAAGACACGAACACATGGCAGCTGGAAGGTTATAGGTTCAAATCCCCCAGAAAGAATGAGTACGAGTTGGAATAATTTGAACTTTTATACCAAAGGTATATGCAGAAGTAAATTACATATGTGTGACCCTGGACCACAAAACCAGTCTTAAGTGTAAATTTTGAGATTTATACATCGTAATGATTTTTGGCATAAAATAAAAATCTATAATTTTGACCCATACAATATATTTTTGGTTATTGCTACAAATATACCCCATCGACTTAAGTTTTGTGGTCCAGGGTCACATATTATAGTGTTGAAACGATGAAATACATTGCGGTTCAAAAGTATCTTATGCTCACAAAGGCTGCATTTATTTAATGAACAGTACAGTAAAAACAGTAATATTGTCAAATAGTATTACAATTCAAAACAACTCTTTTCTAGTTGAAGAATTTAAAAAATGTAATTGATCCCTGTGATGCAAAGCTGAATTTTCAGCATCATTCCTCCAGTCTTCAGTGTCACATGATCCTTCAGAAATCATTCTAATTTGCTGATTTGCTGCTCAGGAAACATTTCTGATTATTATCAATGTTGGAAACAATTGTTGCTTAACATTTTGGTGGAAACGGCAATATTATTATTATTTTTGTTATTTTTTTTAGGATTCTTATTATCATCAATGTTGAAAGCAGTTGTGGCACTTCATATTTTTATGGAAACTGTGATACATTTTTTTTTTTTCCAGGATTCTTTGATGAATAGAAAGTTATTTTATTTGAAACATAAATCTTTTGTAACAAAGCAAAAGTCTTTGCTGTCCCTTTTGACCAATTTACTGCATCCTTGCGGGATAAAGGTATTAATTTTGTTTATATATAAATATATTTGAAATATAAATATGAAAGGTTGTGTATCTGATTTAAAGATTTCCTACTAATCTATGGTATGTTATGTTCGCAGTGTACTAACTTTTTCCACACAAGAAAAGGGAATATTTGTTCATGTACATCCTTACAAAATGTACATTTCGAGTGCCATCTGTCAAATTGCCATTTGCTTTTTTCTTATCTATTAACAGAATCAGAAAACCATCTAAAAGAAAACTACACTCTTCAAAGAGTGTCTTTACCTTTCACAGCACTGTATTATATTCAAATATTATGACCATCTGTGCCATACCGGCTCATTTTAGATGTTATGAAATATGGGAAATGGGTATGAGAGCAGTAGAGAGATGCAGGGAATTGTGGGTGGGGAGAGTGTCTTATCAGATTTCTACGGCCATCTCTCTTATTAACCTTGAAGCAGTTATCTGTGGCCTCTCTCCTCGCTGCCTCACTCCATCTCACTCTCCGTCTCTCTCCCTCAGATAAGACTTCTAAAAATAGCTTTCCATTTCCCCAGAGTGTGAGTTTAAGCAATCCGTGTATCAATAATTGGAGCAGCCCTGTTTGTTTTCAAACATCGGCAGAGTGCGGCAGTTTCTCAGAACAGGGCCGGAACCTTCTGTGTAAATCACATCAGGGTTTGTTTCTAAAGGAGATCTGCAGGAGCAGCACATGCTAAAATCATGTTTTCATTTGAAGCATTCCTATAGGAAAAAACAATGTATTAATTATGTGTGCACATGTGAGAGCACAAAAAAATTCATGTGGTTCTGTTTATTCAGACGTGATCACAAAGATCCTGCACATGGGAAACAATGCTGTTACATGTGAGACATGTGAAATAAAAATGAAAATACAAATGAAAAGAAAAATAATAATAAAAATGAATTAAAATATAAAATATTATAGTAATTAAAGATATATAAATAAATCAAAATATTGAAATATAAGAAATAATAAGTATTCAATTAAGTGTAAGTGTATTGTTTTATTTCACAAAATATATATATATATATATACAGGGGAGAGCGGGGTGGGTTGAGCCAGTTTTTACTTAAGGTGTGTTCAAAGCGAGCACATGACAGTAATGGGCCCAACTTAAATATGTACATACATTTCAGGATGTGGTGCATCCTTGGGAATAATCACTTTGGATCTAAAATAAACTGCTTTCAAAATATGGCTTTCCAACTTGCCCCCAGTGAGGTGTAAAATGAGCCTTTAAATAAAAATTTAAATAAATAAAACTGAACATTTTCCCCTCATGCTATGACAAAGGAAGAGAAATTCAATAAAAATGACTGACCATGTGTTTCTCTGCCTGTGGCTCAAGACACTGGGTTAGGCTCCTGCTACGCTAATAAGGACAAAGAGCTTTGGATAATGGAATGGATGGATGACTTCTTAAAACTTTTATTCAAAGACACAATACACAACTTTGAAGGCATTTTTTAAAATTATAAAAAAAAAAAAATCAGAACAAAATAAAGTTCAAATTGAAAAATAAAAATAAAAACTACTGCAATTGACCTTACATAACTGGGCTAATAGTACTCAACATCCCACACTGTAAAAAATTATATGATGAAAAAGCCATGACAACTTATGTTTTTAAGTTACTTTAACTCATAAAAATAATTTAAGCAATTTCAACTTTTTTTTATAAGTTATATTACATTCAACTTGATTTTTTAAGTCAGTTTAATGTTACTGAAATTCAAAGAAGTTGGCTTTGCTGAGCAGGCTCGGCATTTTCGCGCCCACTGGAAGTTTATCCCAGTCAGGCTTCGTGCGTTTGAGTTGGTATTCGTTACCGAGTAAAGTTAAGCGTTTTTTTTTTATTATCGTCACCAGTTTTGTCAGTTTGTTCTATTCAAACTAGATGAGCATATGAAACTTCTTAATATGATTTAAGAGACCACGATTCAAACTATTGTTAACCTTGTTCATTTGTGACTACTTTTTTAGAAAGACGTTTTTGTCAGCCGAACAGCCGACATGTTAAACGTTACAATCAGTTGGACGCACTGTAACGTTAGGCCTAACGTTACATCTGTTCCTCACAAACTCGTTTTCTGTGCCATTTGTTATTTTATTGGCCATCATTATATATTTTATATATAATTTTGTTTTACGATTGCAAATTGCTTACTGGTAACAGATTACAGGTAACAGTAAATGCAAACAAATGCATTATGTTGTATGAATCGGTCATATTTTAATCATGAACAAAAAGTCTGTAAAAGTGTTGTGTAACTTACATCTTTGGGCTTAACTGTAATTAGCAAGTAACCAACAATTTCCCGTTTACCTCCCTTTGTAGGCTATGACTGAGCACATTACAGTGAGGATCACCATCCAGCTTAATATATTTTTTAGGCAATTCAGGTTATTAAAGGGTTATGAGGCTGTTGTATTTTAAGTTGATTTAACTTAAAATTTTAAGGCAGCCACAAAACTTACGTTTTTAAGTTGAAAGGGGTGAAGTATAATTTCATAAAACTTCAATGGGCAATTTTCATAAGGCCAATTTAAAATGGTACAATTTTCAGAACAAAATCAAGTTCAAAACAGAACAAAATAAAAAATGTTTGGTGTAAAATTAATTAAGTATCATGTAGAATTACAGTAAAATAACACTTTATAATTATAAGAGGGAGTAAGCCACTGGCTCAACTTACCCCAGGACTTTCGGCTCAAATTACCACACTCCTACCATTTTAATAAACTTGTATTTAAAAAAAAAACATTATTTTCCACATACTGTACATTATTGTTTCTCCTCTATGCCCCGCCTTTCTGAAATGCATCGATTTTTACAAAGCTCATCGGTCTGAAAGGTAGGCGTGGCTGACTGAACTTTTATAAAGAATATCTCTTTGGATTTGAGACTTTAGTCTTTGCAACTTTACAGATCTTCTTTATGCACCAAGAGCTTGTAACACTCTAAAGAGAAAGGAAAAATTTAAATCGCATCATATGACCCCTTTAAAACATTTTTATTAAAACATGCACGGAACAACCAGCCATACATAGGGATCAAAATGCAGAGATCATAAAGACCAATCACCGGCTCAGAACATTTTAGCGGCCACATAGCAATAGCTGTATGTTATTTGATTGAAGCATTTGACTGGCTGACAGTTCATTAAAGTGCCCTTATTATGCCATTTCATGCAGTGAGTAATGTAGCTGTATGAGAGTATAAACGATCTGCAATTTTTTTTTATCAATCAAATTTGGCTGGGTGGTTAATAACATTTTTCTGTGGTGTGACAACTCAGAACACATATTTAATATCACTTTACACGGACTTTAAAGTTTTGCGGTTAGTTGTGATTGACAGGTGTGTTGACGTCTCTCTCAGGTGGAGGAAGCTGTGAGCGAGGTGGACTTCCAGCTCAAACTAGATCTGCACTTCACTGACAATGAACAGCAGTGAGTATCTCGCCCTTTCTTTTCCATCTTATTCCATCTCTGCATCATCACTGCTTGTGTTAGGAATGGCTTATACTATCATGCTGTTTTTGCAGTATATAGTCAGAATACTCTGCACAGTAGGTGAATTTTCAGTATGCAGGGAATGACCTACTTCTTTGACCTACTTCTTCACCTAAGTGTATATGTTCTGCTTGTATATTAAACATTGAGTACTGCATCCCACAATGCAATGCACTACAGAATGACGAATGAAAAAGCAATATGATTTTTAATGCTGCAGACCACATCACACTGAATTCAAAAGTTTGGGGTCGGTCTGTTTTTGAAACAAGGCTCTTATGCTCACCAAGGTTGCATTTATTTGATCAAAAATGCAGTAAAAACAGTAATATTGTGAAATATTAGTACAATTCAAAAGAACTGTTTTCTATTTGAATATATTTTAAAATGTAATTTATTCCTGTGATGCAATCTGAATTCTCACCATCATTACTCCAGTCTTCAGTGTCATATGATCCTTTAGAAATCATTCTAAAATGCTGATTTGTTGCTCAAAAACATTTCTTATAATTTTCAATGTTGAAAAGGGTTACACTTAAAGGTGCAGTAAACGATTTCTGAGAAACGCTGTTTTTCAGAAATTCCTTACTGCACCTTTAATGTTTTTGTGGAAACCATTTTTTCTTTTACTTTTTTTTGCCACATTTGATTAATATAATACATCCTAGCTGAATACAATTATACATTAAAAAAAAAAAAAAAAAAAAAA